TTTCCAGAAGGTGGGTATTGGAGCTGGTTCGTGAAGTCGGGCAGAGCCGCGGTGATAGCCGCTGACGAGAAGCGCTCGTTGGGGCCTCGGGTGCCACGGTTCAGGCTCATAATGGAGAGATCGCCAAACGCTTCCATTCCATCAGTAACCATGGATCCTAGGAATTCCTCATCCGCGGGTGGTCGGCCTCGGATACTGTTTGTAGGATCAATGTTTTTGTGATCAAGTTCCAAGCCTTTGCAGAGAACTTCGATCTCGAACTTCTGATTGAGTTTCAGATCGGCGAAGTGGTAGAGTTCCATGAGAACTCCCAACATCTCCATGAGCCAAGGATTGGGGGGCTTGAAGATTGTAGACTTTTGGGCCTGTACAAGTACTTTGCAGGTAAAGGGAATCACAAGCAGAAGACGATCGGTGTCGTAGCCCTCATGCAACAGATCCTTAAACGAAATATTACGGAACTTGATCGGCTGGTCGCGGGCGATTGTCAATGAGCCAAGCCAAGAGCCTAAATTCTTGAGATGGCCACGCTCTGTGGAGCCCAGCGTGGAGTCGGTATTGAGCATGCGAATGACGCTTGAGTACGTCTCACGGAGCACCTCGGCCCAGAGGGTCTTGTCGTTGAAGAGATCTAGCATATCGAGGTACAGCTGCTGGAAGTTGGGTTGCATCTTGGCACGCTCCTCGACGAGATAGTTTGCGAACCATTGGTGATGCCTTTCTTCGACGGCTTCAGTGAGGTCGTTGATCTTATCGCGCAGATTACGCTCGGAAACGTTGTTCAATACGAACAAAACCTTGTCCTGCACGTCCTCATCTGGGTCCTCGTAGAGCTCAGGGCGGAGAGGGGGGTCGACGTAGAGGCAGGAGAACTTGGGTACAGCCGGCTCCTGGTGCAGAGCTTCATCGATACCGTTACCGTTCGTCATGCCTATGCCGTTGTGACCGTCACCGTTCACTTCACCGAGCTGCTGACCTACGACTTCTTCAGCTTTAATAAAAATCTCAGTTCCTTGGAGCCCAGGGACAATGAGAAGCTGATCGCAGTAATTGGGCCACTCAGAAAGTCGGTTCGAGAAATGAATCAGAGCTTGGAGACCAAACTTGTACATACTGTCTTCGGGTCTGTACTCCTGAACAGCTTCTAGAACCATAGCCAATCCAACCTGAAGTGCAATTCGGGACAAGAGGTTGAAGTTGATGATACCCCCGAAAAGCACAGCAGTCGTGGCTAAGGCCTCTAGAGGATATTCCCCGAAGCAGTTGTACTCGTCGAAAAGGCCATGAATCATGCACGCGAACAGTTCCTGGTCTGCGGGGTCGCGCGATTCTTTGTACTTCTTGAGTGCTGAGATGATGTCTCTGACGTCGCTATCGCCGCTGTACATGTTCTTGAAATGCTCCTGCATCTTCTTGTCGGCATCGTCTGGAAGCGAGTTTCCATTCTGCCCGTTGGCATCGATGATGTCATCCACGCCTTCGCCATAGTTGATCAATCGCGGGTACGCCTGGATGCAGTTCCTTTGAAGGGGCAACAGCTCGGGCTCGGGTAGACCACAGTCTGAGAGGAATCCAAGCAATGGGTATACTGTCTTCACTGCGAGTGGCAGATTGAGAGGTAGATGGTCGTCTCGTGCTCGTTGCATCTCTTCCGCAGCCCGCGCACTCAGAAAGTTAGTCAGGATGCGACGGAATAGTGGTCCTGCCTGGTCGAAGGTCTGTTCCAGCCATGGCTGGAGATCAAACTTGCCGCGCGCATGAGCTTGTGCAGCCAGGTCCAAGCTGATGTCAGTATTACTGCGAATCAGTTGCTCTAACCAGTTGTTCGTCTCGGCGTGCTCGAGCACCAGGGTGAGGGTCATCGAATCGGCGTTGTACGCGTCAACAAAGCGATCTGTAAGCCATTGGAAATCCTGCTTCCAAAGACCATAGAGGACAAAGTTGTATATGGGCAGCTTCTTCTGGAAGTAAGGATCAAACAGCTGTTTCAGTGCTTGTTCCTGCAAGGCACCCCAGGGTTTCGGTACTGCCGCTGCCGCTACCAGGAACTCCGCTGTGTGTGGATTAATCACCAAGTCGGGTATGCCCATGAGCTGTGCGGTGTGATATGTCTCGGACGTCTGGAAGATCATGTTGAATAGCGCGGCGGTCGCGTCGAGCGAAATGAAGGGATGCTTGACGGCTTCTTCTGCGAATGACTTGGCGTCGTCGGAGGCGTTCTCGAACGTCTTCATCGAGTACGAAGTGCGCAATCTGGGGATCTGGGTCACGTCCAACTCTTGCCGTGTAGAAGACAGGAAAGCGACTACAAAGTACAGCTGCGTCAAGTCGTGCTGCCATTGTCCTCCCCATAGTGCCTGTATGTCGAACTTCTCGTTGTCCTGGGCCACGGGGAGTAGCGCGTTGTAGATGGCCAGAAACTGGTGGCGCTCGATGCGCAGGTGATCGCGGTCGAATGCCAAAACAACGTCCTGCCAGTCTATTCTCTGTCCGGTCCGGTGTTCGCGCAGTGCGGCTACGAAGTTCTTGGCATTGTATCCGGTGGAGAGGGCGAGGTAAAGGAGCACTGCCGCGACTTGCTGGTAGCTAATGTCGCGCGTCTCGGCCGACGCGAGCACCTCTTTGCATGCCTCCACCGTAGCTGTGCCTTGCGGACCTGCCTGTCGTACAAGCTTGACCAGCGGGTTTCGCGAGCCATCCGTAAGCTCGACGAGTATGAGTTTCGATTCGACGATGCCGGGGATCTGTTGGTGGGTCTGCTGGTATCGCATCTGGACGGCGTACGCGAGGCTCATCTTCTTCTCTTCGTCCCACCCCTGTGGCGGGTCTTGTAGGAGGCGTTCAACGAGGGCGGCGAGGTATTCGTGGCTCATGTCCTCTGGCTGGGTGGGTTGCGCAATGGCCATGAGCAGGTCGTCGCCGACGGTGGAGAGGACGGCATCGGCTAATGAGAGTTAGCGTGAGAGTCAATTGGGAGGTGAGAGAGCCCACCTTTGCTCCGGAGATCTGTCTTCCTGCAAGCGAGAGCTAGCATCGTCTTTGCGACAGAGTCGAGCTTGAAGTGGGCTATGAAGGCGGACAGGTCGAAGTCGCGGAACAGGTCGCCCTCGCTGGAGCTGATTGACTCTGCAATCTTGTCTGCCTGCTCGGGCTCCTTCCGTATCTTGTGCACCTCGGTGAGGAGGATCTGGTAGCTGCCGTTGGGGTCGGCGCTGCGGGCGCCGGTGCCGAAGATGGTGGCTGCATTGTTCTGCAGCACGCGGCGGAAGTATTTCGAAAAGACCTCCATGCCGTTGGAGTCGACCAGCTGGCGGCGCGTCAGTAAAGTACCAATGGGGCAGGTGGGATGGGACAACGAACCTTCCTGATCTGCTCGGTTTGCGTGTCCCACTTGGCGCGGTCTTTGTCGTCCTTTACGGGGCCAAACTGACTGAGCAGCAGGAATACCTGGGCAATGACAATGCGGGAGAGGTTCTGCGAGGATGCGCCGGAGGGGTTGCTGGCGGTGCTGGGGGAGCCCGTGGTGCTCGAGGTGGAGAGCGAGGGCGAGGCGCGGACAAGCTTGGAGGCTCCTCCGCCGCTACTTGACTGTGCACCGGCGCCGTTGGTAGCGGCTGCGGCGGAGGAAGCCAGGTGCTGTGCAGCGTGGGGCGCTATGGTCCTGGGTCCTCTCGAGGACAGCAGCTGGCTGGCGGGGAGCTGCTGTCCTGCGGCGGGCGGGAAGGGCGACGAAGTTATCGAGGCGGCCGACGACTTGCGGGACCTGACCAGGCGTGATGACACCGAGGCGGGCGGCAGCGAGGGAAAGTTGGAGGCGGCGGGCGACTGGCTGGGCCGCGAGCTGCTGGGCGAGGGCGTGCTGGCGTTGCGCTGGTCGTGGGCAATTGCGGTCGAGATGGGCGTGGGACGTGTGCTTTGGTTTGGTCTCGGGCCCCAGGGGTGTTGCTGGCTCATCGAAAGCGTCTTTCCATGAGTAGCGCGTGGCAGGCGGGGGAGGGGTGGTGGTGATGGCGTGGGCGTGGTGATAGACTGGATGGGTGTTCACCCTCGCCCGTGTAGGAAAGCGATGTTCTTGGCAGAGTTTAGTAGACCTGACACGTTTGACAGAGCAACAACACCACGAAAGCTTGGAAGGGCATGTGTATGCATTGACTAAGATTCCATTCTCTATTCGTGACTGGCATTCATATTCCATAATATCACTATTGCGCTCATTCTGACGATGAAGCTGTTCGTGAGGCTCCAGGGCTACCTGCTGCTGATACCCCACACTCCGCCTAACGACATGACTGTATCCATCCTGTCCAATTCCCATGCCACATTCCTCCCTCATCGGCGAGGGTACCCTGAATTTGACGTATTTTATCACATGACTTGGAGATTGTCAATGGTTCCTCCAAGGTTGTCATTGATGCAGTCTGGGCATCCTCAGCGAACTGCAGCTGCACGACTTCCAGCCCACAACAGTGTAGACGACAGGCACGATGCATACTCTGCATGCAGCACACAACAGCTTAACACAACTGAGCATGCACTCTGCCAAAGCATGTTTCTCGGAGACATTGAGCTGATGCCCGACGCAGCCCCTTGCGCCGGCTTGCTTGTTTGCAGTATGACGATGGTTCCGACATGGCCACGCGATGCATTGGTCCACGCGAACACATCAAGAAACGCAGCACAAGAAAAGAATATTCCCAATAACAAGCCGAAGTATCAATAGGGGTGATAGGCTGACCTACACGCGGTGGTTCGTCATAGTGCTGGGGTTAGCGCTCCTAGGTACCCCTCGGCGCTCGCGTCGCCTAGGTGATGTTGCTGGCCGTCAACACAGCTGTACACCGCCAGCACATCCTGGTTTACCGTCAACACCTGGCTCAGTCGCTCGACTGCATATCCGATATCCCCATATTCTTCCCCCACCCACATGCGAGCATTCGCTTTCTCGCTCAATCTGCCCGCCCCCTCAATTTCCCCTCGCTGAAGCAGTAAACACACGCGCCATGGGTGGTGCAGCGACGGAGCCGCCTTCGGTCTCCCTATCGTGTACGTGAATTGCCTACTCCCTCTTCTCCACCCATACTGACGCTTGCAGTCGCCAACAATTTCTGGGGCAAAGATGACGCCGGCGTCGGTCCCATGCTCGACCGCATGCATGCGGCCAAGGTCACCAACGACGAACTCAAAAACTTCTACGCAGCCCGCTCAGCAATCGAAGAGGAATACTCGCGGAAACTCCTAAATCTCTCACGCAAGCCCCTGGGATCATGTGAAACCGGCACCCTACGACTGTCGTGCGATGTCATCCGAGCCGAGGTCGAGTCCATGGGCAAGGCGCACCAGAGCATAGCACAGCAGATGAAGACAGAGCTAGAAGAGCCACTACAGGCGTTCGCTGGTGGAATGAAGGAGCGCAGGAAGATTGTGCAGAACGGTATCGAGAAGCTGCTCAAGCTGAAGATGCAGCAGACGTCGACTGTCAACAAGGCACGCGACCGGTACGAGCAGGACTGTCTCAAGATCAAGGGTTTCCTAGCGCAGGCGCACATGGTCATGGGACACGAGGAGCGAAAGAACAAGGCAAAGCTGGAGAAGACCCAAATCAATCTGGCGACAACGAGCAGCGAATACGAGGCCGCGGTCAAAGTGCTTGAAGAGACCACTGGCAGATGGAACAGGGACTGGAAAGCCGCCTGCGACAAGTTCCAGGATCTCGAAGAGGAGCGCATCGATTACACAAAGAGCAGTCTCTGGAACTTCGCCAACATTGCCTCCACAGTATGCGTCAGCGACGATGCCGGATGCGAGAAGATGCGCCTGTCCCTCGAGGATTGCGACGTAGAGAAGGACATCAGCGGCTTCATCAAGGAGTCCGGTACTGGCCAGGAGATCCCCGACCCTCCCAAGTTCATCAACTTCTGCAGAGGAGACGCCGAGACCTCATCGCAGGTTGACGAGGACGAGAACTACTCAGTCGCCCAGTTTGCTAGGACCTTGAACCCATCCTACCGCGCTTCATCACCAGCGCCATCTACATTCTCCTCGCATCACGATCCAAACAACCCACTAGTACGAGAGCTAGGTCTCCCACAGGAAACACGCCCGATCGCTCCTGACGATCTACTACCGCGACAGTCCTTGGACCGTCCACCACAGCGTCAGTCTATAGATATGCCTCGACAATCTGTAGAATCATTCAGACAGCCAGTGGAACCACCGCCTCCGCTCATGGATGAACCCCGCAGGCGTGGAGAATCTCCCCACCAACAGGCAGAATCTCCCCGACAGTATGCACAATCGACCCGGTCGCGTGCCCAATCCCGATCAAATGGAGATTACCAGCATCAGCAGGTCGAGCCGCTGAGGCAGCGCGCAGAACAGCCTCAACCGCACGTGCAGCCTTTGAGACAACATACAGATCCACCAAGACAGCAGCAGCAGCACATCGAGCCTCTGAGACAACATACAGACCCACCAAGACAGCAGCAGCAGCACATCGAGCCTCTGAGACAACAACAACACCACATTGAACCTCTGCGACAACATGTGGAGCCACCAAGGCAACCAGAGCCACAGCAAGCCCCTCCATCCCCACAAGTTGCACGCGCAGTACAGCCAGATCCTCGATTGGTTCAGGCACAGCAACAAGCTCGTCAACAATACCAGCAGAGTCAAGCTCCACACAACGACTATCCTGCGGATGGTATGACACAGTTCTGCCGCATCGATGCGCCGTCTGATCGCAGCTCGATCCCAAGTCCCGCTCGACCTGCCAGTAGGGATTCACAGAGCGATTACTCCAACCCCACGTCTTTCTCTAGCATCGAGCCTCCAAGTGGTTCAGCATCTCCTGGCAAGCCAATGCCACAATCACCGTTGCCTGAACCCAGCCCGATTGAAGAGGGCTCCGTGGCAAAGAAGAGGGGCTTCTTCAACAGCCCCTTCGCACGGAGAAAGAGCAAGCACGAAGTCGAGACTCCAGCAGCTCTGACTCCTGCCAATCGCAACCGCAACACATGGGCACCTCCCGCGCGCAGGAACACGGAAGAGAACACCAGCCCTACCAAGAGCTTTGCTACTAGAGCTACTCCTCGCAATGCCATACAGAGTCGCGCTCCCTCGCCCAGCCCTGAACCAGCGGATCCTCGTGCCAACTTCCAGCTCAACGTTGGTAACAACGTTTTCGACGTGGCGTCGCCGGACAAGAAGAAGCAACAAGAGCAGGAAGAGTCGCAAGAGGATCTTGATCCGATTGCGCAGGCCCTTGAGGAGCTGAGAGGTGTCACTAAGCAGACGTCTGTTCGTCAGCAGCCCGATGATCGCAAGCAGGCTTCTTCTCGCCAGACTGCCGATCGTTACCATGGTCTCGCAACGCCTGCCCCGGGTACACCTGCTGTCGGGTCGAAGTTGGCAGGTAGTGCACCTACTCCCCTTTCTAACGTCGACCTGAGCGCTGCAAAGCGAGGCACACCTCCACCAACATACGAGCAGCCAAAACGCGAGCAGCCGCCTCCCCAGCCTCGTGAGCAGCCGCGCGAACAACCACCCATGTCTCACCTGGGTGCCCCCAAGCCAGCGCATACTTCGCGCGCTATGCAGAAGACGACTCAGATGTACGTCAATCAGAAGGTGAGCATGTTCAACGGAAGTCAGGCGTCTCGATCCTCCAGCCGCAGCCCTACAAAGCAAGAGCCCCCACGGGTCGCGTCTCCGGCACAACCACCTCGAGCTATCAGTCCTCGACCAACCCTCAATACGTCTCAGAATTCATACCGCTCATCTGGAGGGCAATCACAGCCAGCATCGCCCTCGACATACCAACCTGCGCAACGACAGCAACCACCAGCATCGCAGCCTGCACCAAGAGCGCAACCCGCTCCACGTCAACAACCTGTAGCTCAGCCTGCACAACGGCCGCAACCTGCGCAACAACCAACGCCACGACCGGCATCGAGGCTACAGCAACAGCAACAACAACAACAACAGCAGCAGCAGCAGCAGCAAAGGCCTCAACAACAAGCCCCTCCCGCAAATTCATTCAGCCGGACCGCATCGCCCAACCCATATGCGGCATCGAATGCTGGGGGCAGGCCTAGAGCACAGACAGCTACTGCCGCTGCACAAGCATACGGTACACCTGTAGGACGTAACTCGTACTCCTCGAACCGTGGCCCATCTCCCAATGTCAACCCCACCCCACGAACTGCCTCGCCCCTTCCCCCACAACAGCCCCCTCAACCAGCCTACGCGCAATCGCAATCCCGCCCAGCATCACGAGCAGCCCCCGTCTCGCGAGCCGCAAGCCCGAACCCACAATTCCGCCAATCCCAAGAACGACCCAGCAGTTCCCACAGCGGCATGGCTCTCGCACTCTCCACCGCAGGCAGCGAGCGTGGCGACGGCAGCGTCTATGGTGGAAGCCAGTACGGAGGCAGTGTACGTGGTAGACCCGGTACTGCTTCTTCCGCCCGGCCCACGACAGCTAGTTCAGCTCGACCAGGCACGGCGAGTACTGCCCGTCCGCAGAGCTCCTACATGGGCGGCGGCAGCGCAGGAAGCGAATTCGGCTTCAGCGGCGGGTCTGGTGCTGGTTCCGTGAGAGCGGAATCGCGGGCTAGGAGCAAGAGTCTGGCTGAACCGAAGAATTACAATAGCCAGGGTAGGGTTATTTTGAACTACTGTAAGTTTTACCATTCATGTTGATGATGAGGGGCGTTGGCTAATGATCATGACAGCACGTGCGATGTACTCGTATGCAGCGCAGATTCCAGAGGAATTGGGCTTCCAGAAGGGCGATATCTTGGCTGTGCTTAGGTTGCAGGATGATGGGTGGTGGGAGGCTGAGCCTGTGGGCAATACTGGTCGACCTGGTCTTGTGCCGTCGAACTATTTGCAGCCGTGCTAAACTATGCGACTATCTGGTTTGAAGAGGTTTGAGAAGGATGGATGGAAGCATTTTGATGGTTTCGACCAATGCGTTTTGATCTAGCGATTTTGTTTGCGCATACCCTCGTTGTCTCGTTTGGCGTTCGGATTGTATGTATTGAACGATCGAACGAAGGGGATGTGCGATGAATTGGACGGATACGAGGTGGAATGAGATGGAATGGTATAGGCTTAGATAGCCAAACGTAAATAGCACTGGACCGTACAACGAACAGAATGAGAAACTTGTACATGCCACTCTTGACATACACTTCCATTTGCTTCAAGAGAAAACATGAGCTACGGCGAGTCCGTAATCACTACACGGTTGTATACGATACGGCTCATAGTCAGATTGAAAGCTGGCTGTGTAAAAATGAAGTTTGGGTATCTACTCAACTGAACGCCTGTCATGCTCGCTTGCTTGTTTCTTGCAATATGCCACCCATCCATACGCCATATCTCATGCCTACACTTCTCGCATATCCTCTCTCCTCCCACCTTCATCCCCCTACTCATAAGTATTCTCATACGGATCCGCATCATCAATATCCTCATCCTCGCCATTATCAAAATACTGCTCCGCATTATAATCATCATCGCTCTCCTCTGAATCCGTACTCGCCGCCGACCAGTTATCCTCTTCATCAACTGCATCAGGCTTCTCCTCGTCGATCTCGTCGTCTTCGGCTTCGGCGTCGTCGTCGTCTTCTTCGGCGCGCGCTTCGGCTTCGTTGGTGCGTTCTTGTTCGGATTTTATGAGGCGCTCGATTTGGGAGACGCTGCTTACTTTTGTTACGGCGAGGGTACGGCGGGCGGGCTTTTTGGTGTTGGAGGAGGTGGTGCTGGTTGTGCCGGTGAGGGTTGTGCGGAGTTCGGTGGGGAAGAGGTCGACGACTGTGGGAGTGTTAGTTGTATAAGGACTGTCTTGTGATGGTTCGTGGAGACTTGCCGTATGGTCGCGCGTCTAGCTTTGGGAGGCGCCGGCGCACTTTTAGGTATTTCGCGGAGTAGGTCTGGTTGCCGGTGAAGGGGTCGAAGAGCGAGGCTTCGGTTGGGGCGGGCTCGTTGGCCTTGCGCTTTAGTCCGTTCTTCATGCCGTCGTTGAGGATGGTGTAGAAGGGGCCTTCGTGGATGCGGTCCCGAACTGCGAGGTGGTGCTTTACCATGGCTAGCTCATCGTCGGTTGGTGGAGGCGCTTGAGGAGGTGGTGCTTCCTGTGTGTGGCTTAGTGGGTTGATCAAAGATGCGCTCTTCAGTGTCGTGCTGGCGGACTGCTGCGACTGCGACTGCGATTGGCGAGGCATGGTTGTTGCGACAACATTATATAGACATGCGCAGTGCTACAAGACATGCGCAGAGCAGTCGCGATACGGCAGATGGGTATGCGACGGAGAAAGGGAGAAGCTCACTGGAAAGCGCTCGGCAGGGCCCTTCTGAATGTCGAGGCCAGTAAGATCCCAGTTGAGCTCCGTTCCCGCAATCGTCACGGTTCCTCGCGCGGGATTGAAGGCACCTCCGCGCGAACCTCCGCGCCCACCACCTCGTCCTCCTCTTGCTGGCGGCATGCCAAGCTTCTTGAGTTATACGAGTCGCTGTGTCTACTATGGTTTTCCTTCACGGCAGGTCGATTAGGCGTCGTCGAAGGAGAGTTTGCGGAGGGTTGTGGAGTCAGAAATTATTTCGGTGCAGTTGCGACCGGCTTGCTAGGCTGAGCTCGAGGGTGGGGTCCCAATAGCGAACTTGCACCCGCAGCCCCGCCACCTCTACCCTAAACCCCGGTATTCAAGTCGACGACAATAGGAACATTCGAAGCGATATCACGGCATTTGCGAGCCCAAATTGGACTGATATTGCATCCAGGTTGAAGTACAGTCGCAGTCCAAGCAGTCAGCACTCGCCGCCATCACCGCGCATCAGGCTACAGGGAACGCGTGCATCCGTTACGCGCAATCACATGAGCGGCCTAGAACCTTCTCTTGCACTATAACCGCCACGCTCGAACCAGGACTACCATCGAGAACATCGATAGTCCAACTTCCTCAAGAAACACTACATCCAGACATCCAAAATGGCCGCATCGACTGCTATGCTCAGCGAGCTGTCAGAGCATCTGCAAAAGGTCGACCAAGACCCTACCACTCCGCTCGACACAGATCTACTTGAGCGATGCGAGCTCTCCACCAACACGCCAGAATACCGTAACCAGATATGGAAAGAGACGAGACCGCTCTTTCTGCAGATGGCGGCGTTACTACCAACGCTTCAACAAGATCCCACGCCACTCACCCACTTCATCATCAAGCTGGCGGAACCATATCGATTTGACGATATCAAAGACATTGATTTCGAGATCGGACTTGATCTAAAGGCTACTCCATTTCACAGTCTCATCCTGACACTGTTGGAGAAGGCCACCACAAGTAGCACTGATGCTCAAGCACTTGCAAATCGACCGGCAGTCATATTGGCCATCGTCCGTTTGTGGCTGTGCACCCAGGATGCGGGAGTTGCGACCCAGGCCGAAGAGCTTCTTACGTCGTTACTGGAGGTGTCGAAGAACGAGCCCGTATCGATAGATGGCAAGTCTTCGCTACATACATATGGCACTGGTCCTATGTGGAGGCGCCTATTCAGCGACAGGGACATTAGTTCGCTGTACTACCATTACACATCTCTTAAGGACCTCACATCGCCACCTCAGCCACTTCTGAACAAGCGTGACAAGACCATTTCACAGGCTAGACTATTGTCATGGCTACCGCGCGTCGCCGCTATGGACTGGAATGCCGTCACATCCCCATACAATCTGGAGGTCGAAAAAGAAGTCGGACTTAAGGAAGGCAAAGGCTTGCTTCACTACGCTGCACTGAAGATGGTCGACACAGAAGATGATATGCTCATGCATATGACCCTCCTCCAATTCTACAGCACATTGATCACCACGGTCAAAGCGAAGCCCCACCTCTCACACTACGACTCAAGTCTTGCTCTAGATTTCCTCATCGAAGAAGGCGTACACAAAGGCATCGTCGACTTCCATACCTCAAATAACCCCAGCCTTGACCACTCTTTCTTGAGCAGTCGGACAGCCCAGTATATCAGCGACTACGTATCGCATTACCCAGAGAACTTTGAAAAAAGCAGAGAGATGGCCACTATTCGAAACTACGTCCACCGCAACATTCGCAAATGCGAGGCAAGCGACTTGAACATCATTGCTTCGATGCCTCGATCAACGCTCATACCGCAAAAAGCTTCAGGACCATCTTGGGATGACTGTGTCATTACCGACATGCCAATCACGCGAACGAACCAAGACGCGCTCAAGACACTTGCAACCATCTTCCACGGTCCACCAAAAGAAGAGATCACGTTCCCACAAACCGAAACTATAGGTTCAGACAGCAAACGCACACAGACTGAAGCAGCATACGCCCGCCTCCTCACCGCGCTCTTCTACATGAAAAAGCCAAACATGTTCGCCGACATAACCACACATATGGAAACCATCGCCATGAAAGAGAATGCACTCGCAGCTTTGACCCTCGTCGGCGCCCTCATCACGTCAACCTGGTCCACTGAGCCGCTCCCTAATATCCCCACAAACGATCCAACCTACGCTCGTCTCAACGCCTTCCCCAAATCAGGTGTCGATCTTATCTTGGACCCCACGATCAGCGGCGGCGTCCTCCCTTCACTGCTCAAGCCAGCGACGACCTTTTCGAACCTCGTTGGTGGACGTGGCGATGCGGAGAACGCGGCGTATATCGTTGCAACGGCAAAGTTTGAGGTGTTGAAGACGCTGGGGCGGAAGTTGGAGCAGGATGGTGGGCGGCAGGATGTGTTGGCTATGGTGAGGAGGAGAGTTGGTGATGGAGTTTGGGGCGATAGCGGGAATGTGGGGAGTCGGATTGGGACGTTGGAGATGTGAGGGTGGGGTATTTGTAGTTGAGAAGGATATGTTATGTGATGAAAATGAGTCCAAAATAGCACTTTGTTCAACTACTACTTTCATCACAATACGAATGCGATTCAACCGAAAGAAACACAAAAAAGAAGAGCCTACAACCTTGCCGCACCAAACCCTTTTTCCTATCTTCCGCCCACCATCTCTGCAAGATAGCTATGCATACTTAGACTGTCTATTAAGGGCTGTAGAGTTCCTGATAGGGATCGTGAATCTATATGGGTGGGTACTCATAGCGCGGTCACGTGTCCCCATCTCTCACCCAAAAAATCACCAAAAAAGAATACCTGGGGTATCTGACTATAGCCAGACGAATGCTGAACAGAGTGGGACTCGAACCCACGCCACTTTCGTGACCAGGACGTCTATTTTTCAAGACTTAACGTTAAGAAACCTTAACCTGGCGCCATAACCAGCCTGAATTTGATGTTAGGAACGAATTTCTGAGATGGTAAGTTGAGGGACTGCTTACTCGGCCATCTGTCCGTTGGTATTTGATTGGTTGATGGAGAAAGCGTGAATTGCAACGTCTATAATGTTGGTTGATGATGGGAGGTGGTGGAGATGGTGCGGTGAGAATTTTCGTGGTGGGGGGTGGGCCGCGGAGGAACTTGGAAGCTAGGGCGACGGCGACGGCGAGATTGTGGAGACGGTATGCGTCGTGAAAAGGATCCAGACTTTCTTTGCGTGAATAAGAATTGAAGGGTTGCTTGCGACATATGACTGTGGTGTTGGTGCACCTCTTCTCCAGACCAACTTTCGTTAGCGCAATGAGACACCACTACATCAATCTTCACAATTCGAGCAGAAGGCAAGCGATTTTTTTTTTAATAAAGATTTTTTGAGACTCTTTATGTGAACTGATAAGCAACACATTCGCATTAAACATTATAAACCCGAGAAGAATAAAAAGGTATACAAAGCAACGCATGTGAGGTAACGACTGGTGACAGTTGGGGGTAAAAGCAGACAGGTTACTGTAGGACAATGGCCGGAGCCATAGGGCGCAGCGGTTTTTTTGTGCTTTTCTTTTTTCTGTTAAAAACTCAAGACGCCAATATCGAAGGGAATGATAGTGTGAAATATCATACGGATATTGAGCCACGGTAGTAACAAACAGGCTTTCGGTACCACGCCGATGAACGCGGACGGATGACAAGACGGAACATCAAATCGTGCACTCGGTCTGTGTTCTGCGAAGATGTCGCAGATCACAGGGCCGAGGGGATTTGTGTTGGGTGTAGACGAGAATTAGGGCTCATCGTGCGCCCACGTCCGAGATTCTGTGCAGCGCACATGCGGAGAAAGTCGGGGGTGTACGGAAGTTAGGGATGATATGGTTTCCGAATCGTATAGTAACGCTTTTTAGGTATCCGAAGGAGAAAGGCGGTGAACGGAATGTGGGATTTACCTCATCCTCAAATGCGGACCCGCCAGGATCCCGTGGAACTGCGAAGACATTGGGACGAAGAAGACGGCTCGCACGTGGACGACGAAGGGTTCGCGGCTTCTTCAGCAGCTTACGTAAAGCAGGCGCTTTTTTATAATCTTGATAGATGACAGCTAGGGCAGTCACCAGAAGGATTCCTATCGTGACCTCAACTAAGCACTCCGTAAGAACCCAACATCCAATGATTTCAATGCCGTCACGGATAGGGACAACCAGTGAGTCGTACTGAAGCTCAGGGCCTGGGTTTTTCGGCACCAGTAGGCAGTCTTTTGTGCTTAAGATTTTGGTGCTTGAGCAGATTGTCCTTCCTTCCTCTGAAAATTGCGTCGCACCCAGGTTCAAGGCATCGAAAGATGGTTCGGCTTGCAAGAGACTCATGGCTTTGGCGATGTCTTTCCAAGTCTGTGCTGGCGTGGAAAGCTTTGGAGCACCCTCGGTGAGTACAGCGGTACCTCTTTTCGTGTTTGAGGCGGACGTGAGTGCTTTAAGTGTAATGGTGAGCTTATTGGTTACGGAGTTTGCAAGATGAGGACTTACTTCAGGTCACAGGTACGATTGAAGAGAATGTCGCAGCGGCCACACTGAATCGGCTCGTTGGGATTATGTTGGTCTCCGATGTGAGATGCAGCCGATTGTAGGTGATTTCCTGGGATGGGTTGGCCTACGGTAGGATTAACGTTTTCCGGAGATGCTATGGAGTCGTTCGAATCGGTATCAGTGGCGCTTTCGTTTGAAAGGGGCGTCCAAATGTTCGCAACGGGCGTGCTTCCGAGACTGCTGAAGTTTTCTCGACTCGGCGCTGTGGCGAGATTGGCTTCGTTTGGAAGCGTGGCAGAAGAGATAACGAGGCTGTGGTCCGTATGATCGACTTGCAGTCGAGCCTCAGGAGACTGGAGAGATACTTGATCCAGTTGCGTTCGAATGACTCGATCTGTGACTTCCGCTAGGGGATTTTGAACAAGAGACTGTTGCTCAAAGACAATCTCAGGATCGTTTATCCGTTCTGTAGATGCGGGTTGTTCGTTTGACGGTGTACTGCGACGCAAGTATCGGGCATGGATAAAAGGATTGATGTCGTTCTCGACTTCATAAGGAGAAACAAAGAGTCTGAATTGCGATAATTGACAAGTGAAAGTGGGGTTTGATGAAATAAGAAGGAAGGACGGCGAAGACTATGACGCCCACGCCGGGTGTCTTAATAAGGTGTTGGGATGAAAGCAACAGAGTGTTGAGCCTGAACTCAAATAAGGTAGCGGTGTGTAGATAGTGGCGTAAATGTTGAGGCGCAAGACGGTGCTCGATGGAAGGTTCGCAAGGTCCCCAGCACCGAACGCCTGGTGGCGTGGTGAGGGGGTATGAAGGTTGTGCGAGGCCTTGACAGTAGAAGTGGAGTTCGTTGTGAATTTGTGATGGGTTTTTCTGACTGCCTCGCAATAACTGAAGGTCGCCGGAGGGACATTGATTTATACCTGTCCTTCATAGATTTGGAGGCGTACCATACCTGCGGCTGGGAACTGCTAGGCGAGCGCGGCGAGGCAGTGATCAACCGCTCCTGAGCCGCAACGCCTTCCAAGACTGCACCTGCGACGGAGCGCGGTCCAGTGGGATCGTCCCGTCAGACTCAGCCTTACAGTGTGCCTCCATTCCCGTGGCGTAGAAGTAATGAAGGGGACGTAGGCTGAGCGGACCCCCAGAACCAGACGCACGTCGAGGATGTCCGTGCTCTTGTGGCACTTGCCCGCTTCAAGACTGATTTTGTGGAGCAGCCCGCAGCTGCACGCGCGCACGCGTCCCTTGTCACATCTCTCGTCATCCACAATACCACTTGTTGGCGCCTATTGGGTCAAGCGACTTTCGATGATGAACAACCTGCCGAACCTGTCATCCGCAAATTGCTGACCGGTACGCCACACAGGAGGCTGGAATGCACAACGACCGGCAAACACGCACGCGAGTCTTGATCGACGAAACTTTTCACGGGGAATGCTGCTATTATTGATTAAATCGACTAGATCATTACCACAACGCTCTACTTCCTCGCGGCACCGGTACCCTCCGGCCAGAACTCCTCCAGCCACTCGTACGGGTTCTCCGGAACATACTGGTTCAGAATCTCGCCCTCGAAGTCGGTAAGGTGGTCGCGTGTCAAGTTGTACAGCGCGTACTTCTCATCTGGGCCTGTTCCAACAGTGTATGGGACGGTCTGAACGTTGTTCCCGATCTCCTTGTCGACCCAGCGCTCGACGTCTACAACCTGCGCGTTCTTGATGCGGTACTCGTCACCGTAGTTGGGTGAAATCTACCAACGTGTTAGCCGAATGGACTATCAAAGAGGAGGTCGTTGGGAGCTTACTATGCCCATTCTGGTGCCATTGATGGCAATGACGTTCTGGATGGTGACGTTGCGCTTCGCCTGGTTCAAGCAGTTGCCGCACGACTGGTAGAAGGTGCCGAAAGTCTCGGCGTAGAATCCAGTGATGTTGAACTTTCCGCCTAGCGAGTTGTCCTGGAAGATCTTGTCGGTTGCGGACCGAGCACCGCCTCCGATAACGCGAAGCTGGGTGTTGAGGCCCTTGGAAGTAAGGGCATCTTCGCACACGTCCTCCCACCAGACTATGACAAGAAGTTAGTATTCTGGTCAGATCACCTCCGGTCTTGACGCTTACCATTCTCGACCCATGCATCGCCTAGCGCGTGGATGCCCTCGCTTTGGTGCTTTCCAATGACCACATTCCTAATTGTGGCACCAGGTAGAAGATTGAAGACAGCATCGGCATCTGTTCCTTCCGCCTGTTCGTTGCACGAGCCTTCCACGCGCTCATAACGCTTCATCTGCCCATCGAAGACCTGGCCGGGCTGTATGTACATGGTCTCGTTGAGGACGACCGTCTCGGTCGGTACCGGGAACTTGGTAACCGGGAAAGGGAATCGTGGAAGAGGTCGTGCACCGAGATCGCCCTGAGTGGAGTCTGTGCCTCCTTGTGGTCCATCGCCATTCTGACGACGAATCACTGCTGCCGATGAGAGCGCAGGAAGAAGAGGGAGGATGACAGAGGTAGCGAGCTTCATCTTGACGATTGGCTGTGAAGTATGAGGGTATTTGAGCTCTTCTGACTGAGATTCTAGGTCAATTGAAGACTGTCGAGATGCAGGAGAGGTACTTTGCATTGCTTGCAGCTGCCCTAGCTTTTATACCACCCACAACACCTCCTCGCCCAGCTCTCCTTCCGTCCAGAAGCCTCATCACGCGCATTCTTCTCACGCGATCCCACTTACAACCCTGGCGCGACCGTTTTCCATATGCTCGTGTAGCTGCACAGGGTCATAGCTTCCACAAAGCTACCCCGGCATCACCGCCTCCAAGCCAGCGGAAGAACTGGCATCCATGTTGTTTCCGTGAATAACGATGCGAGAACGGTGGTGTAGTAAACTTGGCGCAGATTTAACCGATGTATCTCCAGACTATGAGATGCGTCGCCAAGTGAACGCCTCGTCTTGGTGACATTTTCCCACGAATAACCCCACGACTTGGCAACCTGCTTTCGCCAACCCCAACTTTCCTCCCCGCGTATCGTGGGTTACTTCTGCGGGGGACAAGGGTCTAATTTTCCTGCGCCCTGAGCGGTCGTGGCTTGTAGTGGCTTGATGTGCAGGATTTGGTCACCGCGGCCGCGCTCCAAAATCTTCCATCCTCTGTTGCGCAAAGAATCTCATGGTATGGGCGGGTTTGACTCGAAAACGAGAAGGATTTCACCCGCTGGAAGACGGAAGAAGATGCGGTCGGGACGTGTTCGAGGAATGTGGATGGACATGACTTCATTGCCAACATGGTAAGCCTGCTGAACTACACAGCTGATGATAGTCGCATACCCAGCGACTTCAACAACAAGGAGTGTTCAAACCCAGTTTTCAGTCATCTCTCGCAAGCCTTTCTCAAGACTATCCCATCTCGAGCCCGGTCCCTTCAGCCAGCTCATGATTTCCTCGGCCCTGGTATTTGGCAAACTCATTCTGTCAACGCCCATGCCCTCAATGTTATTCAGAAACTCCCTTTCGGGATACAGCTTACGCCAAATATCCAGCATCTGGTTGTAGCTCCACGGTTCTGCAAAGGCAAAGAGACGTTCATTTTCGACATCGCTGTGGATCAGCGCGGAGATGTGTACGAGCGCGCAGTCAACGGGATGGACGTACCATTGCGGACCAACGGAAGTCGTCCAAAAGTCGAGCTGTTTGCCTTCCCATGCAGCACGAGCCCAACCGATGGTTGAAGGGAAGCCCTGATGCTCGGGGATCACGACGGGGCCAAAATTGGCGTTTGGCAACTATTTGGGGTTAACGATGACCTCTCTAAAGCATTGAATTTTCTGCTCACAACGCGGTTGAACACGAAGCTGGGCTGATTGTTTTCCATCCATTTCATCATCGCCTTCTCGGTCTCAGTCTTCATGGCGGCGTAGACAAACAGCCCTGGTTTGCCAGGCTCTTTCTCCAGAATCTCCAATGCTTCATCATTGTATGTGTTCTCATCGATTGAGAATTCTACATTCGGATGAGGAAACGTTGCGGCAAGGGATGACGAGGTGAAGACGAAACCTTTGCATGAGGGTACCTTCGCGCAAGCCTTGAGACCGTTTAGACCCGCCTTCACGGTAATGGAGATCGCTTCATTGACGTCGGAGATGCCTCCGATCGGAGAAGCGACATGGATGAAGCCTTCAATATCTACGAATGAAGTACTTCAATTTTAGAAGTCAAGATATCACTAATGACATAAGGTTCGACGTACCATCAACGACATCGTCGTAGCACCCTTCGACTGTCATATCCGGCACCTCGACCAACTCAAATCTCGCCTTCTTGTACTTATCGTTGAAGCACTCGGTCATGTATTTGTGTTTCTCGGCATCTCTCACAGCACCGCGAACATTGTACTCTCGCTTGAGAAGCTGATCGACGACATGGCTTCCGACGAGCCCGTTGACGCCTGTTACAAACACTGTCGCACCAGGTTTGATAGCGACCGTAGGCATGGCGTCAAGTAAGGTCAATCGATGGTTGCAGCAGGCGAGGCTTGCGATACTGGCTTATTTTCGGGATATCCTGAACGTGCTTTGGGACCTGCTCGTCGATCCCGCAATCCGCACTGATCTGAGAGCGAAAATGGGGAAGGAAGATAAGAGTCGCAAGGCTAGGAAGCGCATTATATTCACTACAATGCATGTGGACGGCTACCACGTTACACAAGCTAACTGTTCTTGGAAAGGCGGGGTCGTTATGCTGGCTGCTGGACCGAACGAACACTAGCGACATACGCCTTCAGGCTTGAGATTACTCAATTCAAGGGCTCTAGTCGATGATTGTAGCCTCAGCACTACACAACCTTGCGGCTTGCCCTCTGGAGACCGGCTTTCAATGACGTCCAAGCTGTGAAGGTTTTGCAATGTCCATACCAGATCAAACCCGACGAAAAGACTTAGCGCACGTACAAAACGCTGATCAGAATTACAATAGAAGTTTCGAATCTTTCCCGCGCTGTCTATCAATGGAAGAGACCAACGATGACTTTACGGAGTAGGCCGTCGCCTCGAATCATCGACCACGTCGTCTTCAGACACGACTGCCGTTGAGCTCCTCGCAACCTCGATACTCACATGGAGAACGGCGTTCTTTCTGGAAGGCGGGCTTCAAATGTTGAACTATGACAGGTATGAAATGTTCTAAAAAGATGCTAAGCGCATTCAATCTACCTCGTCAGCCCGTGTCAGCCCTTGGCGAATGATCCAGTGCCGGCACCAACAAACGAGGCACGAAACGAACGCGATCGTCGATGGACAATCAGCCACTCATTCCCACGGCTGGATGTGAACGGGTAGGAGAATGAGGTGATAACCAGAGGAAACAGCACGTGGTCGATGAGGAGGCAAAGCCTGATGCCTCTACGGCTGGATTCTTACCAACACAAGGATATGAGGGAATAGACGACGTCGACGATGAAGAAAAAGAAGATAATGGCGCACGGGTGGTGATGTTATTTCCGACGGCATAGATGGTCTCGAAAGAAAGTGGCAAGGTCAGCAGATGAAAAGAACGCGCACCTGAGGAGTACAGACTTCACAGAGATGTGTGAATCTGTCTGAAATACTTCTTTGCGCATCGGGACGCTCTGAAGCCGAGGATGGAGATGGGTAGAGGATGTCTCAGATTTCCAAGGCGACACCAGCAAGAGGAACAGAATGGCAGCCACGAAGCACGCGTAATATTTCCGTACGGCATGATGACATGAGATCATCGCTGTCTACCCGTTACGAATGTGCACGTTTGTAAAACAAACTAAGCACTCCACGATGTCGACTTCTTCCACCGGTTGTAACCCGGCGGTACCTGGACCGCGGCTCACCCCACGACTTTGACGGTCCAACTCCACGCCGCAAATACGTACGACAGCCAAATCACTGACTCACGAGTACCAGATATTTCTCCCTTGCGCCTCTTCAAACACGCCTTCCAATACGATGATGCGTCTTTGAACAAGCATACCAAGCTTCTATTCTCCGTGAATCCTGAAGCTTGTCACACCCCTCTCATCTTGGCGAAATGAAGAAACATTACGCCGTTCCCCACAAAACCCAGCCTAGTCGTTTCACTCCAACACCACGAACGGGCTCGAAACCGCTCACCGGGTTCGAAAGCAAGCCAAAAAGCGGGTCGACCATCTCGCTTGGACTAGCCGCCGCCCTCCGAAGGCTCCGATGACAGCACTGACAGCTCCAGATGCCGAGAACGTCGCACTTGCAACCCATCACCCGTGTTTCTTGCTCACAGCCACTCAATATCACCGAGCTTCTCGGTAATGATCGTGAAACGGTGGGAACAATGCGGAGACTACGTGCCGCCACGCCGTCTTCTGGAATGTAGGTCTCGAACGGGTTGGAAGCGCAAGGACGTGACCCTTGGAGTACCTACTCTTACCATGGCATGATAAAAGCGCTACCTACCCACCTTCTCTATCGTTCTCCATCACTTTTGTGAAGTTTCAATCCTTTACTTCTTCTTGTGCTAGACCGCATTGTCACTCCTTCATTTATTCAAGTCCTTACTTCATTCATCCACACTTCGCTTCAATGGCTCGTTACTCCTTCGCATTCGCTGCTCTAGCAGCAAGCGGTGCCTACGCTGCGCAGAGCGCAGCCTACACACAGTGTGGTGGAAAGGGCTTCACCGGTGCCACCGCATGTGTCTCCGGATACCACTGTGAGGTCCAGAACGACTGGTACTCTCAGTGTGTTCCTGGTGCCGGTGCCGGTGCCGGTGCAGCAAGCCCTGTAGCAAGCCCTGTTCCTACAACCATGATGACTGCCACCAAGGCACCCGCTGCTAAGACCTCTTCTCCAGCAGCAGTAGCTGTTGCCGCTCCCAGCAAGGCTGCCGTCGCTGCCAACGCTGCTGCCAGCTCCGGAAAGACCCAGTACGCCGGTATGAACATTGCTGGTTTCGACTTCGGATGCGACACATCCGGATCATGCAGCGGAGCCTACGTCGACCCCGGTGCGAACGGCATCGCTCAGATGCAGCATTTCACCAAGGACGACAAGCTCAACATCTACCGTCTCCCCATCGGCTGGCAGCATCTGACCGGCAACACTCTCGGTGGTAACCTCGACGCCACCGTCAGCGCAGCCTACGACAAGCTCGTCCAAGGCTGCCTGGCCACCGGCGCAGTCTGCCTCCTCGACCTCCACAACTACGCCCGCTGGAACGGCCAGATCGTCGGCCAAGGCGGCCCAACCAACGCACAGTTCGCGGATGTCTGGACCAAGATCGCTACCAAGTACGCATCGGAGAAGAATGTTGCATTTGGCCTGATGAACGAGCCCCACGACCTCACAATGTCCACCTGGGCAGACTCGTGCCAGGCCGCCGTCACCGCCATCCGCAAGGCCGGCGCCAAGTCGCAAATGATCCTCCTCCCAGGTACCGACTACACATCGGCCGGCACCTTCCCCACCGCCAGCGGCCCCTCCCTCCTCAAGGTCAAGGACGCCGACGGCACGACCGACAAGCTCATCTTCGACGTCCACCGCTACCTCGACAGCGACAACTCCGGTACCCACGCCGAGTGCACCAGCGACCACGTCGAGGACTCGTTCGTCCCCCTCGCTACCTGG